AAACAGCAATGACAGAATTTAACAATTAGTTCTGTGCTTCCTGTGTTGTGGGAAATTCAATATTATCATTGAAACAATTAGTATTAAAATAAAATTCAATCGTCAAAATATTCTGAATATATTGACGCACCAAATGTCTTAAAAAATATTTTTCACAGAGCTGTAAGTAAATTTTCTTTTGCTATAAATTTACTTTTACGATTTTATTAAAATTAAGTGTCCAAAAAAATTAATGTTTCAATTGTTTCAAATCGGTAAGTGTGAAGTGCGTGAACTTGAAATTAACAATTCGCTAGAATAGAGGAGAGCATGGAATTAATGCCACATTAGCAGTGAGTGCGGGTGCAGCGCGCGTCTTAATAACACGTATAATGGCGCGCGTCTCGCCCATTAGACGTAAGATCCGGCTGGGCTGTTTAAGACATCGGCTGTCACTCGGCGCCATCACATCTGAAGGGGGAATTAATTAATTGATGGTAATAAGATCACTCGAGCACCGTCGACGGACGGGCATTGTGTCGCGTCGAGAGTCATGCATCACTTTGCAGCTGTTTTGCCACCGAAATCCGCCTCTATGGACATTTCTGCGTGTGTGACACTTTCTTCTCTGCAATTATTCATACGGCTAAATAGAGCAGCGGCGAATTGAGCGCTTTGTCCCTCAGCCGCCCTTTGTCTTGTTTTACAGCGGCGCGGGCGAGAAAATTGACGGGAATTAATGAAAGCGGCGCACTTGATTTATGGTGAGCGAGCCAAGATTTTTTTTGCTATAATTTGCAAAGGGCCGTCAAAGGGTGTTGCTATGCCACGGCAAGACGCTTTTCTTATATGGCCGGCAGAGGAATACTTTTAATTTATAGGCCAACGTTGGAGAGTCCAAATTGATTAAATTCTTCAAGCAAAAAAGCTCCAGCAAAATTTAAAATCACTCCAAAATTTAAGAATGGATGTGTGGGTCTTAAGAATTACCTGGCTTATTCTGTTTTAAAATATGTCAAGTTTAAAATGATTTATTTCCCACAAGAAAAACCTTTTATTTTGGACGATTTTGAGCTTTTATAGCTTTTTTAAAAAGTATCACAGGGTTGCATATTCAAATCTGCCAAAGTTTAAAACGGATGTTTTTGCCCGAAAACCAAATGTAACCGTTAGATTTTTATTAGTAAACAAGTTATGAAATTCTAATTTCAGTGTTTTGAAGATTGCATACAATTTTGATGAAATCTCCTTCAACACGTATTGGTTTTTTCTAATATTATTTGATTTTATCTTTTATAAGGCAAGAACTTGTGGGTTTGTATCTATTGGCTTGATATTTAAACCATGTAGAAAAAAGTACATTTTTATATTAATTTTTTCCACTCCCCATTTTCCTCTTTTCTTTTTTCATAGATTCGTATTTTTGAATATCTAAAATTCTGTAATAGGACAGACACTTCCCGTTGATATGTCAATAGTATTAAATCTTACTTAATTTAATTTGAAAATGATCAATTTGCAATAAAAATTCATGCTGATTTTCTTTTAGCAAATAAAAGAGCTCTTTTTTCAGGAGTGGAAAAAATTTTGCGAGCCATTTTGTGCGCTGCCCGTCATCGAAAAGCCCACCCCTGGGCGAGCGTGTGTGTGTTTGTGCGTGGGGCGAAAAATGAAAAATCGCACACACTGCGGAGGCGGCGGCGGCACATCAGCGGCCTCCACACATCTTCAACACGCACTTTGCGCCAGAGATAGGCAACCCTCAACACACGTATGATAGATGGCACGAGGGAAATAATAAAAAGGGCAGAAAGAGAGCGAAAATAAGAGAGAGGAGGAGGAAGATGAACGTTTGCTCCTTGGCTCGCCGATATTAAAGCGAAAAAAAAAATACCCGCCGAGTGAATTTTAATATATATTTTTTGTCGGCTGCAATTTATATTACCTCCTATTCTCATCACTCTTCCTTTCTCTTTTGTCGAGAGAGCTGCGAGCTCACATATTGGTGGTGATGTATGAGAGTGGCGCTCGCAGGCAGACAGCAAAGGTCTGGCGCCTCTCAATATTATAATGCAGCGTGTATGCATGATATTTGCACCGAAACCATAAACGAGCATAAAACTGGGACGAGGAAGTTGGAATAAGATGGATTGGAAAATAATTAATTGATAGGTGGACACATTTCTCTTAAAAAGACAATTAAACTCAAACAGTTACTTTGGGGAATTTATAAAATGGATATCATACGAATAATAACTGTGATAGAAAATAAAACTAAAAGAAATTAACAGCAAGACAATTTATATTTTAATAAATTCCAGTTTCCCAGTTCCCAGCCCTCTGCAAAGAGTACCTGTGGCGGAACTTTGACCAGTGATTTCCCCCAAATGTGATTTTCCCTCCCCATTGAGGCTCGTTTTGGCATGAGACTTCTTCTTGATTTCGAGTGTTTTAGCAAAATGTGCGCTAGAGGCGGCGCCTTTTCTTGTCCAAAAACATTTCCCTCCCAAAAATTGTTATCTCAATTTTTCTTTGTGATCTGTGCATATAACATGTATGTAATATTTGTCGGACAGGAATAAACAACAATAATAATAAAAAAAATAAAGCTTATTCAAAATCAAATCTTTAAATTTAACTAAGCAATATGTTTGAGTTTTATTTAATTTTTAATCACAATTTAATAAATAAAATTTTATTTATTTATGCAGTTAACAAAATTTATTTTCTTATATTTCTTGATGAATTTTTTTTAGTGCAAAAAAATTAAAAAAATATATATATATATATATATATATATATATATATAAAGCTTAGAGCAAAATCAGGTTGAATGGAAATTTCTAATGCAAATCTACATCTTCGGGACAAACGCATACAGTGAGAGTGATTACTTAATTATTATGCTGCTATGAAATAGATATTAAATTAAACTAGGAATGTGGTTCCCTGAAAAATTATAACGACTCATGGAAATAATAAAAATTAAGATTAATGAAGAGATGTTTTCCATATAGTAACAAAATATCGTTGCAAATTAAATTTATTATTATCAGGTACTGAAACATCCGGTTGGATCTGAGATCTGAGATTTACCGTAAAAAAATTATATAATTTTAAAAAATGGTGTGTAATTATTAAAAAAAGGTAAAGGAAAATATTTAGAACCCAAAATATAATAGTGTAAAATTAAAGACAAACCAAATACGAGGTAGAGCGAAGGAGCCTGGAGCGTGGCTTAAAATAAATAGAGGCGGTGTTGGCGAAGAAGTGCTGAAAATAAATGTCTCGCAGCAATATCAATTGTGGCGTGCAAATATCGGAAGGTTTAACTGCCATGGTAACGACGACGTTGTTGGGCATGCACACGCAGTGAGCATTAATATCATCATTCGCCGGGGGCGACGAGTTTTGGAATAAATAAAAATTTTATTGCGTCTTCTCGCTGCAAAACATCTCTCGAGGAGAGCTTTGTTCCGCTCGAGTTGGCATTAAGAGTGGCAGCGGCGCATATATTCGCGAGAGCAAATGTTTTGAATACGGAGGGAATTCTCGGTGCGGTGAAATGCGCGCGTTCAAAGACAGGTAGACTTGGCGCTCGAATTCGCGCTGCTGCTTTCTTGCGGGATTAGTTTTGCACAATACATTTCACACTAGAAATAGCACCGGCAGCAGCAGCTCGGTGTTGTGCCTCTCCAGCGCAAAACGATCCAACCAGAGCTATGGAGGGTGGCTCGGGCAAGCACAGCTTTTTTTGTAAAAAATTACGCAATAAACTTAAAAAATGAAGTTTAATTCCTGGAAAAGACTTTTTGCCGACGGTTGAATTTTTGCACGGTTTTGTAATAATTGAGTATTTTATCAATATCAATATTAATATCTGATATATTTACATTAATTTCTTAAGCTTTTGATATGATTGTGAAATTTCCCTAGTTACTAATTAATTTTTTCCCGTTTTAAATTTAAAAAAAAGATTTTTTAGATGGCAAATTCAATTTTTAGTTAGTTCAGGGGCAAACGTTTTTTACGCTGATTTAATTAAATCAAATGTTTTAAGTTAAAAACAGTTTTTCTAAAGAACAATTTGCCCCAAAGAAAATTAATTACAAAATATTGTAGGAGATTAACTTAATTCAGTTCATTTGTTGGAAACTAATTAAGATTTACTTATAAATTATCATTTTATTAGTTAAAATTTCATGTTTAAATGGAAATTTCAAAATCACTTTCATATCTCACCTATTATTCATTAAATATCGCCAAATAAAATCTTATTGTTAGATCAATAAAGTTTAATAAAAAAAAGGTAGAGAACTAGTTTAGGCTTTTCCAACTAAATCCCCTATTTACAAGTACAAAAGCACCTATTTTGCCCGAGACTTTTTAGCCATTTTATTAAAATTATAGGTAATAGAAAAAATAATGAAAAAAATTTGATGTACAGAATGTGGCAATTGTCAAATAATAATTATTATTTACCGAGTTATTAAAAAACATGGATAATTGGCTTATTTTCATAGGCAATCTTGGCTTTTTTTTTCAAACAAAACACTCAATTTTTTCTTATAAAAGTCTCCCATATGATGCGATGAGAGAAGAAGAAGTGCTACTTGAAAATCATATAAACTGCTTTTCACAGAATTCTTATTAATTAGCCTTCACTGCAGGTGGCTTCTGAAATTGGGGGAATATAAACATAAAAAAACATCCCGTCTAATTGGCTCTTGGTTGACATGGAGAATCTAATTCCATTGTAAACGGGCAAAAAGTCGGAGAGGGAACGAGGAAGAACGCCAAATTGGAATGTGCGGAATCTCGAAACTCGAAACAAACATGGCCGAGGATAGTAAGTATTCCAAAAACTTTGAGCAAGGTTGTTTGTGTGTGCGTGTGCGAGTCTCTTCTGTTTCACTAGGAGCGAGCAAGAGTTCAAAGGCGCGGCGGAGCGTTGTTTGCAAAAGCTAGGGGTCAGATTGAAATTCCATCCGATGGGGCCAAGAACCAAAATATTACCTCTCGTCAAGGAATGCCAGGAGAATTACGTCGCCGCTCTTTGAGAAACGCGAGCAAGCCAGCCGTGAGCTCTCCTTGCCGCTTTTTGTTTCGTCGCAGGCAAAGTAGTGTGGGTAGGCAATCCGCTCAGCGTCTCCGTTGACCAGGTTGCAGCGTCTGAAACGAAAGGGGGAAGTTCAAGTTGAGAAGTGAACCTTTGCAGGGGGGATTTTGTGTAAAGATAAGTCTTTGAAGATACTTATAAAAATCCACTAATATCCAAAGAGTGTTAAATATTTTCATTTCATTTATTTTTTTATTTTGCAATGCTTTATTAAATTCACAGAAGGTGAAAAAAATTAGGTATTTTTATTATGTCTTGGTTTTCAAAGCAAAAAATGGTTATTTTTACTAAAAATATATTAAATGAGATGAAAAATAATTTGCTATGATTTATTTTTTCATTATTGTTCTATGGATTTTTGCGTATCAAAATATTTCTTATTCAAAGTTTGTGCCAGAAAAACACCGTTTTTCCTGTTTTTCTCTTTCTCCAAAAAAATTGATAATTTTTGTTCTATTTTGAGACTATTTTAAATTATGGGAAAACGACTTGTTGAAAAAACTTTTGGGTACATTCAAGACATAAGCTATCAATTGACACTTTTTCAACTAAAATTAGAATCTTAAAGCCATCTACAAAAATAATATAGTTCTGTTCAATTTTTGGAATATTGTTTAAAATTTGCCAATTGAAAATAGTAGTAGTTTCGATAAACATTTTTAATATAAAATATAATTAAATGTTTTAAGGGTTTTAAAATATCTGACATACTTATGCAAATTTTATCACCTGAATTCTTTTTTGAGCATAACTTAATAGTAAGAAATAAATTTCTCAAGATTATAGTTGCAAGTTTTCAATGTTTCGCGTTTCAAACGTGCGTAAATTTGGCAAAAGCAAGCACAACACTAACTCATTAAATAAATTCAACAGCCCTCTCATCACGTCCTTTCTCTCTTTGCACAAATAATTTACTAAACTCGCTCTCAACTGCACAAAAAGTTCCGGCACACGACCCTTCGCCCCAGCAAAGGTCCACCGCCGCACAATTGAAACGAGACAAAATGCGCGGAGAGAGAGAGAGGCTTTCAGCCCTCAAGAATGGCATTCATTTTTGACAGCGACGCAGCTTTAATTAGCGTAATTATGGCAGAAGGTTGAGAGAGAGAAGGGCGAACCAACTTTCTCTCTCCGCCTGCTCTTTATTTTACTCCGGCACAGCATCCAGTGTGTGGCCACCGTCATTATCATGGCACTGCTCGTCGTAAACTTTTGGTGGTCGTCGGCCTGCCTAGCCCTTGGCCTCGCCAACTCACCCACTCACCCACCCACCCACCATTTTGCCCCCCTTATCATGCTGTATGACTTCCTCCGAACATGGCTCCGGAACGGACATCCCTTCTCTTTCTCTCGCTACCCGAACCGAAAGCAAGGGGTTGCTCGCTCGCAATCTTCACACCCTTGCACGCCGGCAGATAGCTAGGTTGACCCCATCATCACCACATACAGAAGCGGCGAGGCAGCAGGAAACTTTTGTTTTATGCGACAACTTCATTCCTCCCTCGCTAGACGCCCTCCAAGCCAAAGCCGCAATCGCAGCAGGGTCCATGCCAACGTGAACTGACAAGTAAAGCACGTTATTTATATTTAAAACTTTTATTTTATATTTATTAAAAATTTTAATCATGATTTAAAACTTTATTTCATTTGATTGAAGATAAATAAATAAATATTAATATTTACTTTTAATCTTATTAAATATAATTTAAATATTCAAAATTTTACAGATTTCAGTAATATTTTTTTGCTACTTTGATATATAGTATTTTTATCTAAGTATAAATATGTGTGATCCTCAGCATCTCACAAGAGAAGCTGAGGATTTCTTCAATTAGAATGTGTTTGGATCAAGATGTTTTGACATTTTTGTTTACGAATAATAAATATTACCTGAAAACTACTTCTACAATCTAATTGAGCATTCATATTATTATTAATTATATTAGTAAGGAAAAATATAAATATTGTAATCATTTCAAAAAATTGAGTTTATTTTTCAAATGTGATATTTCAGACTTCTTGCTTTTCTTTGGTGGAGCTGAGGCGGGTCGAAAAATAGTAAGAAATCAAATTTAATGTAAAATGTATTGATCAAATAATTTGCGAATAAAAATTAGCTGATCGTCAATTGAATATATAATTTCAATTTCCATACTTCAACTCCGCCCTTTTAAACAAAATCAACTGAACAAGACGTAATTTAATCCCAGCACCATAAAGAAGATTAAAATTAATTCTCAGAGAGTGCACGGGGGTGGCTCCTTATACAAGGGTTGTAGATTTTAAGACGGGGTGCCAGCAGCAGCAGGAAAGGTACATTTATTTTGCGCGGGGGCTTAGCCGTCGCGTATATAAACTTTAATTCCTTTTGCAGGGCGCCGGAAATTAATCTGGCCTGGCCATAAATTCGTGCTCGCGCGGACGCGATTCGCCCGGAAGTCACCGAGGGCAGAAACCAATTAATGTTGCGCGCTGCTCGAGATGCGATTAGTGGCGCGCGGCAGATAAATAATAATAAGCGAGCGGCGGTGATCGCGGCTGCCTGCAATATCAGCCGAGATAATTTCCCGTTTGCTAATTATCAACTCTGGCTCCAAGTGAAATTTGCAGTTCGAGACGAGAAGAGCCGCCTGCAGGTTTTGTTATTTCGGGCATGGGCGCCGAAAATCACCGGCCGCGCTTTTGCCATTAGCGTTCCTGATTATATTTCGGCGGTTCAACTTAACGGAGAGTAGAAAATCATCTATTCATCTATTTAAAAGAAAGAATAAAAACTAGGCAAGGTTGATTCCATTTGTGGAAAAAACTAATAATTGGCAGAAAACAGTTATATAGGATGTTGGAGAATTCTTTAAAAAAAGGCAACTAATTCTCTAATAGTGAACTTCAATAACCCATGATGATAAATTTATTCTGTCTCTAGCTATATAGAATAAATTTCTGAACATACTGCCCACTCCGTGTTATTTTTTATGACAAAACCTCTAATTTTAATGTTTATTATTAAAATAATCTTAAATAATTTTTGGTACATATTTGATGACTTTAAATGAGTTTTATTTAATAATAATTGTATTTTAATTATAATATTTTTAATAGTTTTTTATATTTAAAACAAAACCTTTTTGCTCTAAAACATCATTTTTACAGCAATAAAAGTTTTTCAAAATTTTATAATCTGGCATACATACCATAATTAAGCATGTTTCATGAAATTATGCTGTACGTGTAATTATGATAGAGGTAGTTCTTCCTGTTCATTGTTCAGAAAATTGATTAATTGATAATATACAGTTTTACTTATGTAAAAAGCTTAGGAAATTGTTAATTCATGCATATAAGATTCAACGAGTTTAGCAAATTTTCATTGAGATAAAATTTTAATTGCTTTTATTTCATTTGCTGATAATTTTAATATATTTTCTTATGAAATATAGGAATGTAGACGGTTACCACAAGTGATTGAGCCGTTTATTTTTTGCAAGAAAATTTTTCAAATACTTTATCAGAAAGTGAAAAATTTAAATAACTATTAGTAAAACTTTTGACTATATCATTTCAGTTCGGGCAATTCAATAAAATCATTATAAGATCATTACATCATAATATTTAACAACAAAATCTTCAATTCTATATGAAATAATTTCATGATCGCAGGTCGATTAATGGTATTATTGAAATTGGTTTAAAATTAGGCTATACCTCGATAGGTCATTGTTTGAGACGTTTACAGTTTTGTAGTAAAATTAGCATCCTGCTCTATTACGTAAATTTTTCTAAATGAATTAATTATCAACTTTAAAAAAGCCGAATTATTATCTAAACACCAGCAATCTATAAAATCATTATTAATTTTGTATTTCAAAATAAATTCAATGTGTGCTGTGCCCTAAAAATATTTTTTTTTTCACTTCTATTATTTGAACTCGAAGTCGATTTCAATTCCAATTTTGACTGAACCTAGGAGGTTGTATCTCCAATTCAGTCGTCACTTCTTCCTGTGTGCGGCGAGGCTGTTTTTCCGCTCCCAAATGATTAGGAAAGCGTTTCTCTCTCTTGCTTGCGTCGACCAAAACATCATCAGAGCGTCGACCGAGAGGGCGAGCGGAATATACCGTGTGTGGCGGTCGGGCGGGCGGGCTCATTTACCGGCGTTGCTTCCGTACTATTTCTCGCCTCTTATTTTGCATCCATTACTGGCTGCTGTGGATACTCGAGTGGCTGTGGCAGCCAACATGGCCGACCCACGTCCCATTAGTGCTGCAGCAAGCAAACCCCTGCGCGCACAACACTCTTCCGCTCGCTCTCTCTCGCCGCACACGCTCTCTGCTCTCCTTTCTAATAATAATAATAATAATAATACTTTGCCGCCAACTTTCTGATCAATAATACATGTGTATAACGAGAGAGAGAGCGCGCAATGGACGGGACACTTTATAACTCGGGCGCAAAACTTTTGACCATTTGCTAATTAATTATTCGCAGCGTAATCTAACATTAGAGAGAGAGAGCTGCAGCCCTTTCAAGAATTATGGCTGCTTCGCCGCCGAACTCGAGCAGAACGGCTTCAAAGTTTGCGCCCAGTAATGGCCACGCCAACCTCTCGACTAAATTTATACCGAAGGTTCTGTCCCCACAGGTGCAAAATGTATTACAAATTCCTTATGCAGTTTTATGGCCATGTTGATTTGTGTACAGAATTTTCATTGCAAGATTGTAATCATTTTAATTTTTATAATTTTATTATTTTAATATTTGTGGCCCAAATTTTCATAGAAAGTCCCATGTATTTCTAAAGAGAAATAATTCATAAAATTTTATAAAATTATATTAATTGTGAGCGCTCTTAAATTGCATTTTGCTGCAAAGTATATGAAAGCAGTGAGATTCATAGGAGACATTAATTTCAAACACCGCAACTTTTTTCCATTAAAAATAATTTTCTTGAAATTTCAAACTCTGCGTGGAAACAAAAATGTTTTACGAAAACCACAAAAACATGCTCAAAGCTCAAATATTCAAATTAAATCTGCAAAACATTTTTATTGTATGC